CTTCAGATATATCCGCTATGAATTTTCATGTAGTTGTTGATTTCATTGCAAAATTAGAGTCGTTTCATTTTTCGACGTCGCTTTGAAAGGATGTACTTGTTATTAATTGATTTCATCGCTGAAGGATGTGATTCTTAGCTGCTGATATGATGCATAGAGCAATTCATCCGTGGATGTGTGAACGCATTCAATCGCTCTCGTTGTTTTCGTGATGTTCAAAAAATTAATGATCACATCATACAAGAGCAGAGTCAATCGCACGCAAAAACACCCATTTCAATCGCCCTTTCAATAGTTCTTCATCAATTTTTGTGACGTAATTCAACTAAATCTCACAAATGCTGATATGACGACATTCATATTACCGTCGTCATTCTCATGTGATAAAGATAGAAGACATTGTTGGTAAAATCATCATCATTACTATTGTCAATGCTGCTTGAAAGTTAGTATCTGCACTGAATGCAATTTTGATTGCAGCCTTACGTTTAAATGAACTTAAAATCGTAAATCACTTTTTCTTTCTGAATTGTCTAAGATAGTTTTCAGAATTGGGATTGTTGATTCCGAATGCTGCTAACTTCACTTTCACATATTAATCACCACTGCTAGAATTATGCTACATTGTAGATTCCTCTCAAGAATGGTTTCCGGTGCTGATGAAAGCAGCTTTAGATTTCACTTCTGTGATAGTGTTCAAGTTGGCTGGATTGATGTTTAGCGCTAGCAAGCTCGTTCTTATAAGTAAAGCAGTTTGCAAATGTGCACGTGTTCTTTTGACCAAATGAGTTCCCTGCCGGCTCGTTTTGAAGGACGTTTAAAATATGTCTGACTGAGGAAGGTGAATGCTTTTTCAAGTCAACTTGCATGAACTGTGCCACTCAATAAGTATCGCTATTTTTGCTAACTCAGTGCAGAAATGTTCTAATTCTGATTTAATGGATACTTTCGAAGCCTATCGGATAAGTACTGCCACATGCGGAGTCTCATATAACTGAGACTCAGCCTAATCCAGCGATCGTTACTATTTCATCCACAAAAACTTACCACCGCATTAATTTCTTACTATGCAATCATTGTTTCGAAGAATTTTCAGCATATTCAACTGAAGATTATAACGACGGAATCGATGAGAATTTTAGAGGAATGTCGAGATGCTGCGTGACTCTATGTAATGGAATTTTTGGCTCTAATGGCTCGAACTAGAAGAGCGATTCAGAATCACTGAATATAACTTTCATGAATGAGTGTGTAGACGTAGGCATCATTCGAGCAGCTGTCAATTCTTTGATCGAATTCTAATGGGGCCTTGACTGATTCAACGGTGAGGTTAATTTTTAAGTTAGCGTGATAACCCACTGTGTATTATAGATTGATTTACTGGAGGCAATTTAAGTGTCTGAAGGTCAATAGAGAAGGTCTCAAAACTTAGTTGAAAAGTTAATCTGTTACTCAACCTTGCCGATTCATTTTTCAAAATTCGCATTAACACTTGGTTGTTGTTAACGGAGGAATAAACAATGAGGAAAATGACTTACGTTTGTGATTGGTGTAGCGTTGTGATTGTAATGATCAATTAACCAAATGACTGACTAAACTCGAACGAAATTAAATGTGATATTTGTAGATGTTGGAAGGTGAAAGTCCGGTGTGGTACTTGCCCGTTGACAAAGCAAAAGGAGTGATGATAATGGGCTTTGAGCCGTCAACAATCAGCTTTGCAAACTGGATTTACGACTGGATTAAACGATTATCTAACTTGTTTGCCATGCTGTGACGAAAACGAGCAACGAAAGCGACAATGAATAATGCGAATTCTTCATAATAATGATTGTGGAGAGCATTTTTTGTAGGTGTTTTTGCGAAGAATTTTAGTTTATGTATATCCGTTGAGAATGTGCAATGAACACAATAAAACAAGAATGTCACAGCTGAGCATGATGTATATTCATGCAGGGCATTTATCATCTATGAGCGAACAAAACAATAGGAGAAGAATATAGTATCAAGATATTATATCAATAACCGAATTAGAGCTGTGCACTTTTTTGCATTGGTATCACTTTCTCTTTCACTTATAATTCGCATTCGTTTCTATGCTCTTGTATTTGCATTTCAGTTTCGTTCAATTTCTTTGATCTTCTTCGAGACTTCTAAGATATCATTATTACGCGAACGCTGAAACTCGTTTAGAGCTTGATTTTGAGCGAATCGACTGTTCTTATTGCGCAGATTGTGAAGTTGGTTACATTCATATAATCATTCATCACGCATTTTTGTGATCATTGTTTTTATTTACGTTGGCATGATGGCGTTTTTTTTCTTCTGTGATGAGTAAAGTAATCATGCATCTTGACTGAACGAGGATGCGTTTGGAGAGGTTTTTTTTCTGAAACATTTATTATTAGCGATTAGATTCTCCATTTTTTCATGTTTTTTGTCATTTGACTAATTCATGAAATTGTTCCTTTAATTTTCACTTTCGCAATTTCGCTTTCATTACGAATATTTTGATGATTGTCTTTTTGATGACAGTGATCTACTATAAGATCCTTGCGGGTTCTAATAAATCAGTAGATGCGTTGTAATAGTCTTATTGTTTTTGATAAACTTTGTTGGGTCGAACTATCGACATTCATGAAAATGCTGCAGTTCGGTCAGCTGATAAGAAAACGAAAAACAAAAAAAACGAAAAATTTCCATTTGAAGTTCTTCGTTTGGCGTCGTAAGCAAGCGGAAAACTTCAGATGGAAATATCGTTTTCAGTATCAATTTTGACGATGAATTTAGCAGATGATCTGTTAACACAAAGGTGGACAGTAATTTCGGGTAAGTAACATCATTTGTGCAGTCGCCAACCTTAAGCTGTTTTGCTTGACAGTTGAAACGGTTCAGTGGTTGTTTATTTTAAATTTAAACTGTATGCAAATAAATGTTCACGAGTATTCGTTGAGCTCAAGTGAGACACAACGAGTGGAAAGCTAGATTAATGTCATACCTCTAAAATTGAGACAATACGGAATCGTCTCATTCGGACTACTGATCTATTTCCAGTCAAAGAAATTTATTATATTTCGTGAACGAATGATCCATTGACTTTTAACTGAAACGTCTTGAATTTATAACTGTAACGTTAATTGAATGATTACAAGCGATTCATCTAGTGCATTCAACTTCCAACAGTTGTTATTTATTTGCAGTGACTCTACTATTCAGTTAAATTAAAGGTGTTTCTTATGAATTGGTTCGCTATAAAATGATATCAGTAAAAAGTATTTGCAAACGTTAAGTGTTGTTTTTTTTTGGAACGGAGACCAAAGTTGTGATATTTTTTGTAAAGCACATCTAAAACGGAGTAGATTTTTGGAGTTTCACGCAATTCTGACGGAAACTCAAGAAGTGATGTTGGATATTGTAAAATGCCTGTTGTTAGCAGACGAATGTCAGTCCACTTCGACGTACACCAAAAATTTTAATTCTCCAAACGTCAATCTGCTTTATTAATCAAATTATTTCAGATTGATTGTGAGAAAGTCCATAAGACTGCGGATGTCTGTCTTGTTTAGTCACATTTCAAACAAATTCGAAAGTGAAATTCATGCTGTAGATAATGCAAAAAACTGATGGGAAGTATAAGAAATTGCTGATCAATGAGAATTAATCGTTTACAAATGATCAGCTGGTACCACCGAAAGTAGCTTTTTTTGATGGTCATTTAGAAACTTCTCACTTTCACTTTCTAAAGCGGAATTGAATGTTTGCAGTTTGGTTTCGCAATATCCTTACTACCGGATGATTTGTGATGTGATTGAAAGCGATCATATTGACAATGCAATAAAAATATTTATTAGAGATTTAAAAAAAGATGATTTTGAGATTGGTCAGCTGAGCAAATGAATCGCTTTTGTTAATCGCTTTCACTTTCACTGTCAGTGTTTCGTTACGCAAAGATGCGAGAAAACTCGTTTATGAGCAAACATATGCAGCTATAGACGTTATTAAACAAGATATCAATAGGATGATTGATTTGAAGAAGAATGTGAAAGGAAGATCAAAATCCAATGAGATAACTAGAAGATATGATACATAAGGATAAATAAGAGATAATGGATAAGATTAATGGCAAAATTTTGTTGAAAGAGCAATATAACAATAACAATGCGAATAGAGTGGGCGTCGTCGGAAAAGTGAATAGCCACATTTCAAACATTATTCAAACGCTTTTTTAACGAAGAAATATTCGTTTGTTCCGTTTATGAAACAAGATGTTTGCGTTGTGTTATGTTGTGTTGATGTTTGGGAAATCGACGTAATGATCAATCTACCTTTTTTACATCACTTTTTTTGATAATTGATGATCGCCGCTGTTGTTGTGACGATTGTGTGACAGGATTAGGTTTAATGAAGATGATAATGCTTTTTTGGAAAGCTGCTCTAAACGATTCCTGCATATAAATACGACGAGAATTTCTCAGTTCACATCATAATCCCATATTCTGATTTCACTACGACAACCAGCAGGTCGCATCAAACCAGCTGATTTGAAAGAGTGGTGGCATAGGTCATTTGATCTTCTTCAGATGATCATCAGCAAATCTTACAATTTTCACAATTTCTTCCAGTGACCTCAAATTACAGCTGACAATTTCTCGAAAAAATGTTGGCGTCTGTAAATGGTTACAGTTTTCAGCCTCGTTCTCTACAGCTTCTGAACTCATGTCAAGCTGATCAAGTTCATGAGTCAGCTGATTGAATCGAACGTTTTTCAGCACTCTTCTTGTAGATCCATATAATGGAGGCTTAAGATGGAATTCGGTTGTGATTTCCATCGGGAATTGTTGTTGATTGCAATTGATTTTCAATTCATGTGAAGATTTGTGTGAATAAAATTGTTTCGGAACAATACATTTCAAAAATTCATCGCTTAAGCCGAAAATTTTCTTTGAATTCCATTTTCAGGTATAGTTAAGTATACTATTGTTATTTCTTCTACTGCCACAATGTTGATCCGATGCATTTTTGGTGTTTTGCTAGCAGCACAATGCGTTCTGATGATCCCGGTGGATAACGATGTGGTTGGTGAGCCAGAAGTGGAATGCGCTGGAGAAGCAATTGGAATCACCTTCAGAACGAAGTAAGCAAATTGTTCGAGATTTTCATCTTTTGCAAATTTAACATTCACTTTGTTCTTGTTCACTAAGAAAATTTGTTAAATACAGTCAATCCATTGTGAAAAACGGATCTGAAGTGATCAAATGAACAAATGAATGAACAAGTGTCTAACGAGCGATTTGATGTGCTCAACAAAGGAAGATGATGATTATGATTGAAGTTGAAGTTAACGCATCATTCATCATTAATCAAATGGCCTGAATTCGAAACAATGCATCGTTTTTTCTGATTTCAGAAATCCTTTTAACGGACGATTGTATGTGAAAGGTCGTTATGACGATGGCGAATGCAGAAACGCTCTAATCGGACGAACATTTACAGCCATATCGCTACAATTCGAGACATGTGGCATGACTCGACTCCGTTCATTGTTAGTTTTGTTGATTATTTGATTATGTGAATTTTATTACGCGTCAATTTTATTCGTAATGGGTAATAACATCACTTACATTCTGCAGACCACTTTATCCACTTAGAATTGTCATTGTTTTCAACGATATCACTTTAATCTTTATGAGGATTTACTAATGTGTGCGATTCCCAGCAAATTATTTTTTACGTCTGTAGTGAATATGTACAACACGCACTTTCAATCGTTGTAACGATCACAATGATTTGGTGACATAATATTAGACAAAAAAAAAACAATGAGGACAACGCTTGATATGTTCGTTCATTAGAAAAAAACTGAAATTGCATAATTATCCGAATTACGCAATGATAACGAACGATATGTTCAAATCCATAGTCAGAAAATTTATTCAGTGGTCATTATTCACAATTGGAGTTAATGACTGATTCGTACATGACTTTAACTGACTGAAGAGATAGTTTGAAACAATACATCCATGGGGACGCGTTTGTGCATGAGAAGTGTTAATGACGAAATTTGTTGCAGGAATCCTCGTGGCATTTTCACATCGATAGCTGTCGTAATTTCATTTCATCCTCAGGTGAGTAATGCGGCTGCAAACGAAATGCAATCGGACTGCATATCCTCAGTAATGGGACTGCAGATCCTTGAATGTTCATTGACGGACTTCAATGAGCGTTGACGAATTATGAGTATTTTACCATGATGATTGGTCTCTGGGAATTTGTACTGAATCGAATTTTACAATGTTGATCTTGCTTGTGCAGATGCACTAAAACGTCGTTAGATCAGTGAATGTAGCGAGTATAATTTCTGTCCAACTGCAAACTGCAACTGTGTTTCGAATAAAACCTTTTTGTTCAATTTCAGTTTGTCACCAAAGTTGACCGAGTGTATAACATTCAGTGTTTCTACATGGAAGCCGATAAAACCGTTAATCAGCAATTGCAGGTAACTTGAGTTTATACGATCACCTTTTTATTAAGAACGCCAATACCCGAGAAATATTTTATGAAATTGTCGTTTCTTTACGACGAAGCAAAGCAAAATGATGCGAATGAATTTGATCGTGAACAAATTTCTGAACGATTCCACATTCATTCAGGTTGCTGAACTGAACACTGCATTCATTACGGCGACAGTACCGATGCCTGTATGTAGCTATGAAATCTTGAATGGTGGACCAAACGGCGAACCTGTATCATACGCTATTGTTGGACAGCAAGTAAGTTAGAGACAAACTCGAATCGACCGACGTCGAATAAAAACATTCAACCGAACTTGTGCAATTGAAGGATTTTAGCAGCCATAATGAACAACTAACTTTCTTTCCATATTACTAGGGAAACACTTCGAAATGTATAAACTATCATGGATTGACGAAAATTCATTCGTGAAGAGATAAGTATCATAAATTCGGCAGAAAAAAAACTCCTCCAATGTCACGCAGTGTTGCAGTTTTCAATTTTTGCTTAGTCAGTGCCAAAAGATATAGCGAATCATGAATAACTTGAAAATCTGTTTGTTTCGTAGTGATTCGATCCACTTATTCGAACATATAAAAGAAAACATTTAAAGGTTTATCACAAATGGACGTGCGACACAGAAACACAGAACACATTCTGTATGATTGTGCAATCGTGTTTCATTGACGATGGACGAGGAAACAAGGTGGAAATGATAAACGAGGAAGGGTGCGCCATCGACAAACATATCATCACAAACTTGGAATATCCCGAGGATCTCGTTGCTGGACAGGTAGGGCGCTTACGTCGAGTGAATTTTGAACTTAGTATTATTTCAACGATATTTTCATCGTTCCAATAGAATTCTCAGTGAATTTTTGCTTCATTCCCATCTACAATTTCAGGAAGCACATGTTTTCAAATATGCCGATCGATCAGCACTTTTCTTCCAATGCCAAATTTCAATATCACTTAAAGAACCAGGAGCAACCTGTCCACTGCCTTTATGCGCACAGCCTTTGAGACAGAAAAGGTATTGTTTATAGTGGGTCATCTAATACGGAATAGATAAATTCTCAACAACTTGGATGTTCTGTACCAAATTTACGATGCAATGATATAATAAACCCTCAAGCTACTCGTGTCAGTGACAACGATGCTCTCGACCGATCAGTACTTAGCGGAAATATAATTTTGCTGTTCCAAACGCTTTCTAGCACTTACCCGTGCGCCTTCATGTTCGTCATGCTCCAAATTTATCGCATTGTGAATAAACTACAAGGGGAGAGGAGGGCAAAGCCTGAAAAGGACCTCAGAGCATTTCCATTGAAGTGGGTAATGAATTGAGTTTCAGATTTGCAATTTCATCGTTACGAGATCGACTGACTCTAGCAGAGCATACTGTTGATGTGAGATCACGAGAGATTGAAATGCTCGATGTATTCGATATCCTGCCGCAATCAGAAACACCTCTTGGAGTACGCAATCAAACCACATCACATTATCTTTCTAGAAATATGCGAGCATCCATATGCGTTAGTAATGCGTCAACGTTACAGCTGATTGTTTCCAGTTTTATGATCAGTTTTTGTGTTATTATTTGTTTAGTTATCGTTCGGTTACGAAAGTTTTCGGTGGAGAGCTCATCATTGAGTTGAATTGTTGAACTTATTTTATGTTCATCAGTCAACATTTCATTTTGTTAGTTCGTTTTGCATTCATTCGATAATATGTCTGATACTATTTCTAAACTGATTTCTTTGCGAGATTTTCCGTGAAAGAATGCTATTTACAAGAGAATAACGAAAGGATTCGTTATTTACAAGAATCTCACCGTTTTAATGAGGAAGCAGAACGTTTAATTGCTTCCTCTGAATAGCCCATATACAATGTAGTGGATATTAAGAACCAAATTTAAGCTAAGTTCAGGAGCTAAAATTTCCTTTAGAGCAAAGAACAATATCAGAACTTCTTCGAAAATATTGACGCATTGTTTATGTACCAACCCATTAACATACACCGACCTGTTGTCGAATTTGCAGCGAACCCGTAGAGGAAAGGGTATTTATTTTATTGTGCCATTTAATGTATTTAATGATAATCTGTCATCAATGTTGTCCCAGAATGGAAGTCTTAATAACGGAAAGATTCGATTAGGAGGAAAGAAACGAAAATTTGAGAGAGACTTCAACTAGCTTTGAGAATCATCGCCAGTATCTCCAAATCCTTCCAATCTCTCATTTCGTATTCCGAACTCTTTGATTACAGATTCATTGTAATTATTGTAATATATGTCGTAATTATTCTATCGCACACAAATGATTCTATCGAATTTCTGACATACTCTAAAAAATTCACCCTTCTTCTCACTTCATGTCGTCGGTGGCTGAATCAGTGCGCCGAGGTCACTAAAGAAGTGAATTTTTTTCGAGTATGAACCGAACCATCAAATGTGATGGCCTATGACACTAAAAAGCAACTGTATCATCAACGCAAATTATGAGTTAAGGCAAGAATAAAGCATGCGATTTCTACTCAAAAAATATGAGTAGTCTAGAAAGTTATTGTGTAAGTGGTTTTCGAAGAGAATGTGGATGGTGATTTTGCGTGTTTGCGTTGCGTTCTCCATCTCAGTTAATTATTCTTACAATTAGAATCAACTTCCAGAAAAAGATACAGTTGATGATACAGTTGCCTTCAAATGAATCTCAAAAATGTCTTATTGATTTATTGTTTTTTTTTTGTTACTAATGTATTTCTATACGAAAATATTGCTGCTGGTGAGTTCGCTAGTAATCTTGTGTAGTGGTGGTGGTCATTTGCTCCCAATTAATCCGTAGTTTTCACGAGAGAAATATTTACTATTAGGCAATTCTTCGGAGAATATCGTACCACTTTAACGACGATAGACTAATTTAACGATAGAAATCTGCAAAACCTTTTTAATCGTATATAAATGCGTGTCACTCAGAAATACTCAAGATTACATTGAGAAGCTGGTGCCCGCCGCCAGAGGTAGTAACTCCTCTTTAAAAAGACTGGACTCAACCAACTTTTGCATGTAATGTTGCAATATCCGCTGTGATCCGCAACATTCATTATAATATTAACACCGACTAGATATTAAAACTGTAAATCTGTTGATACTATAAAGCATGTGTACATATTTGCAGTTGCCTGTCTGATCCATTACCAGTGTTCTGTTTGTTGTTCACGATTTGTATTTTCATTATTGTCGTCTGTTATGTGCTCAATTACAAGTGCAATAAAGTGAAATTGAATTAAGCTGCTGAATATTCAACCATCAACCAAACTAACAACAACTTCGGCTGAACTAATTTTTCGAAAAACGTCCGACTTAATCAGAATGAGATGCTTTCGATTCCTAATATCACTTGATTACCACATTCAGGCAAACATATTCAACAAGAATTCCATCTCATCCAACAGCAAAATTTTATTGGTTGTACCGAAACAAAACAAAGATCGAGGAAAGCAAGAGCAATTCCAATCAACACAATTAATTAAGAACATAACAAGGTGAATACGAAAAATGATTACGATGAAGAGCAAATAATCCACACGATAGAACAAACTTTCTTATTGCTGAGTGTCAACGTCACAGATGCTACTTTTTCAACTGATAAACAACATCAAAAAGCTGTAAAATCGAAAAATGGAAGTCTACACTTTTCAAAGATTTCATCATCAAAAACGCAAATCAAAACTGCAAAATTTCTGCGAAAATGTCGCCTTACTGTCTCTATGACGGCTCATAGAAAATAAAAAATCATCATCAGTGAACAAATCGAAAAAGAACAGCGAAAATTGAACTGGTATGATTTAAAAGTACCACCAGACACATTCTAAAACGCTCGATAAAGCTGTCTCATGTGCGAAGCGAACGAGTTATTGAATGAGTTAACTGAACTCATTCAGTTCAAAACACTTCACAAAAAGTTAGAGGTTTACCCACATGCCCATATGTTACGCAATTAAAACTGGTTGCATTACAGATACCACATGCATTCAAAAATCATACCTCGACAAAAGAACAACAAAAAAAAAA